TTTGCAAGGATGATCTATGAATGTAGACTTAAAAAATAGATGATTTGGATAATTGGAAAAAAAATTTATAGAGTATCCTAAAAGGCGTTCTTCAAATAAAATTATTTGAGGTATCCTCAATAGAAGGGGATTATATATATATATATATATATATATATATATATATTCATAGCAATTTAAATGAAAAAAATATATGCATATATAAAAGCCTGTAATTTTGTAAAATTACATATATAAAAGCCGTAAAATATTTGCAAGTCCTTAGCATGCTGATCCCCAACCGAAATAATAAGAAAGAAGAACATGCTGCAGGCAGAATGGCTAATTTACTGTGGAGTTGGGTTGCTTTTCCTTTTCTTCCCGTCGCCAAAAAAATAAAAATAAAAACGAGGATCTCTATCTCTCAATGAGCTCCAGATGTGTAACGGACAAAGCTCATTACAGACTTACGAACAAAACACAAACTGCACTCAAAGGCGGGAGTTACAAAGCATCTCAATTGAGTGTTTTTGACCTCTACTGCGTGACGGTTACAAATTAATCCACGGCTTTCTGTAACCTCTCCTTTGCATGGCAGCCATTTGTGAACGATTCTATGTGTTCTTCAGCAATGCATGACAGCCATTTGTACATGATATATTCTGCGTTCTTCATTCATGCATGGCAGCCATTTGTGAAAGATTCTATGTGTTCTTCAGCTATGCATGACAGCCATTTGTACATGATATTCTGCGTTTTTCATTCATGCATGGGCATGGCAGCCATTTGTGTTCTTCAGCAATGCATGACAGCCATTAATTTGTACATAATATTCTGCGTTCTTCATTCATGCATGGCAGCCACGTTTTGTGATTTTCAAAGGAGTGGTGGACCTTAATTTCGTATGGCCTTTGTTGATATCACATCAAGGGCAGAGCCAGAATTGTAAGATTAGGGGGTCAAGATAAAAAACACAAGTATATCAAATACATATAAGTGTTCAAAACACATGTTAGAACTAAATTTTTCAAAATTAGTCATGTCTAATTATTTTTAAAGGTGCCATTACTTTAAATTACAAGTTATCTATTAGTAAGTTGTATATATTACATTATATAATATAGGAGAGAGGTCAAAGAAATAGGGGGCTAGGGCCACTGATGATGCCACGTGGCCAACACAGTTGGCTAAAATATGAAAATGTTTTGAATACTACTTTAGGTTAATTATATTCTTCTCAATAATGAGGCACATATATGAGTTTATAAGGGTACTTTACAAGAAAATTGATACATTAATTAATTATGAGAATATCTCATAATTATACAAGGATGTGTCAACTATATGAAACAAGGAAATAAATCACCTTATTAACTTAGGAAATAAATCTCCTTGATTTAGTAGGTTGACTTACGTTAACATCCTCCTCAAGTTGGTGCATACATGTCACCAATGCTCAACTTGGTAAGTGAGTCATAAAACACTCATCCACAGACAGCTTTTATCAAGACATCCGGTAACTGATCTTGTGATTTTACAAAGGGTTGGCATATGATCTTGTTCTCAATTTTTTCCTTGATGAAATGTATATCCACCTCAATATGTTTTGTTCGATCATGTTGAATTGGATATGAGAAATATCGATCACTGACTTGTTATCACAATGTAACTGGATGGCCTTCTCTAGTTTAAAACCCAATTCTGTCAATAATCTTTTGATCCACAATAATTCACAAACTACTTGAGCCATAAATCGATATGCTGCTTATGTACTAGACTGCGCAACCACATTTTGTTTTTTACTTAGCCAAGTGACTAGGTTACCTCCAACAAATGTAAAGTAACCCAATATAGAGCATCTATCTGTAATGGAACTAGCCCAATCAACATCTGTATATCCAACAACTTCAAGATTTTCATTCTTTGAGAACATTAATCACTTTTTAGGGGCTGACTTTAAGTATCTTAAGATCCGATAATTGCATAAACTGACTAACCACACTCACAACATATTCAATACCTGGTCTTGTATGTGACAAATATATCAATGGGTGTGTCAACGAACTTACATTTTAGCATTCATGTTTCAGTGAGTAGATCCATCACATACTTTCTTTGAGACAGAAAAATACCAGTTTTTGACCTTACTACTTCAATTCCGAATAAGTATTTCAGAGCACCTAAATCCTTTATCTCAAATTCCTGAGACAAATACTTTTGTAGCTTCTATTGCTCTCCTACGTTGTTCCCCACTTACGACCATATCATCCACATAAACAATTAATGCAGTGATTTTTCCTCCATCACACTTCAAGAACAGGGTATGGTCTGAATTACTTTGAGTGTATCCAAAATTCTTCATGAACTTAGTAAATCTTCCAAATCATACTTTGAAAGATTGTTTTAACTTAGCGAATCTTTACCAAATTCAACTTTATTTTCTTGGCTGGAACCTAACCCAGCTATTTCCTTCATCTTGTGGAAAATTTCACTCCCAACATTTATCACGGGTTTAGGGACAACATTCATAACTGTTTTAGGGATAACATATGTGACAATCTTAGGGATATTTATGATCGTCTTAGGGATAACATTTATGAGTTTAAAGTCTTTACTAGAGAGAATATTGGGTTGATTTTGAGAGAAATGAAGAGGATCATGGTTATTAGCTTCAAACGCAAATGATACTGATAGAATAATACACACTGTAAAAATCATTATAATAATCCGAGTGACCACAATTCTCCCCTTAACAAACATTTCCATGGCTCTACGTACCCACCATTCATTGTTTCCATGAAAATAGAAAGAAAGAAAAAAACAGCATTTATAGAGATATTATAGTCATTGTTTCCATGACTTTATTATTAATTAATTAGGATACATTATTTATTCGAAAGAAGATTAAATAACTTTGAGATACTTTGGTATACATTAAAAGTAATTAAACTAATGGTCAAGTGACTAATCTAGCTTTTGGCTAAGGTCACTCGCTATATAATGAGCATTATCTTTGATACAAATAGTAATTTTGAACAATGATATTATGGTAATTGGCTAGGTACTTCACTTAATATGTAATGGAAAAGTTGAAAAAGACAATTGCCTTCTTTGATAACTAGTTTTCTCAACCAAAGGTTAAGTGACTTCACTACTAAAATAAAAATAAAAATCAATGGGCATTGGATATCGGTGTTCACGAAAGGACTTGAATTGACATTTGTGTCTACACCAAAAGGGTCAATACAAACCCTTTTTGTGGACACCAATATTCATACCCATAGATTTTTTATATTAGTGCTTTTGGTTCAGTATTTTAAATTTGGTGGTCATAGGTATTCATTTGAGTGTGTAAAACTTAATTTTGGGCTTGCATTTGTTTAAATATCCTAATTGATTAAGGATAAAAGAATTAATACGAAAGTTTATTTGGTCTTTCGGTTGGTTGATGGGGAGATAAGGATACCTGTTATTGTTTCTTTGTCGGTTAAAAACCGTAATACTCCCACCTATAGATATAAGGTTAGATCCCTCCTAAACACAAGCACATGCACTAAACACCTTTCCGATATTAGGGTGCATAAGAAGTGTAGAGAGAGGAGAATCATACAAAGTGGTTGTATGGCTATGCTCTTTCACGCTTAGATAGGTCCCAAACTTCTATCATCTAAGATAGCATCACTACAACAAAAATCAAAATAGACGACGGGAAACCACCGTTGTGTAGAAGGTTTTCCAACCGTCGTGAAATCGACCGCCATCTTTTGTACTAACAACGACGGTTAATAACCGACGTTGTTAAGGAATTCAACGTCCATATTTATTACTAACCGACGTGTAATTACTATGTAATTAGCCTAAAATGAAATCTTCAACAACATTAGACTACAGTTTTATGAAAACCGAGATGTCTAAAGGTTGTTACATGTCAAGATCAAAAGAAGAACTGATGTATAGATAATTATTCACGTCTCTAAATAAAGGAAAAAAGACTTGGATAAGCTAGAAACCGTCATGGTTAATTTTTACTACGTTAAAAATAAAAAAAAACAAAAAAAAACGACGTGTGAACCATAAACGATGATGTACACGCAAACCAACGGACGTTTAAAGAGTATTACATGTCATTTGTCTTTTAATAACCGCCGTAAAATAACATAACCACGTCTTGCACCAGGCATCACCGACGCTTATGTATTTATCCACGTCGCGAACCTAATACAAACCGTCGTGTTAACTCGTTTCCACGTCTGTGTTTTGCGAGACTCGTCGTTTAAATCATACAAAGAAGGCCCTTTGACAGAGTTAGACGTCACTTTTTTAAATAACCGACATCTAAAATATTTAAAATGACAGAATATTACTCAATATCGACGTACAAAACTCACTCCCACATCGGTTTATGTCAAAGGCTGACGTTATAAATAGTATTGAAGGCGTGGATAGGAACATAACCGACGTGGATTATAGATTCAACGTCCGTTTCTTTAAAATAAAGGACGTGGTTAATTACTTCACTACGTCTAGAGATCCACCTGCTTGACGTTGTAGTTAATTACCGTGTCGGTTTTTTATTACATAATGACATGGTTGCCCTTTTAAAAGTCGCTTGTTTGACCTGCCTTGACGTATGTATGCGCGGAGACGTCAGTTGTTTTAGACTAGCCAACGTGCAGAACATCTGTCACGACAGTTAATGGAACTGAACGACCTTTATTTTGAGCTTTAGACGACGGTTTATTTTAAGCAAACCATCTTGATTTCTTTTTCAGATGTCTGTTTTTTGTTTTACAGTCTGTTGCCTTTTTGAAACCTGATGTTGTTTTTATCTTAGACGTCTGTGTTTCCAATTTTTTTCCCTGACCGTCGTACTTTACAGCTTTAACTCAGCTTTTTTAATTTTTGATTTGTCATGCCTAAAGCCTGCATAATGAAAATGTGATAAGAATTAAAATGTTGTAAATAATTATTAATTAATGTCATACAATTAACTGAATAACTAAGGTCATATATTACAACAATCAATCAATCCATATATCTTCACACCCATCTCTAATATTTTCATTCCCAAACTCAGCAACTAGGTCATCAAATGTGTCAACATTTGGTATCCGTCTAGTAAATGGCTCACACTCAATTCTAGTATCACCTAGCACATCATCACTAATAACATAATTATATTCTCTATTAGGCATTGATAATACTACCGACCAACCACGATGCATTGGGTCGTCAACATAAAATACTTGTTTGACTTGAGAAGCCATGACAAATTGGTCATTCCTATGTCCAATTTTACTCAGATCTACAAGGGTAAATCCAAGTTCGTCGACTACAAGGCCCGAAGTGTTATCTATTCAATCACACCTCAAGACTGGGATTCTAAACTTTTGGTAGTCAAGATCCCAAATTTCTTGAATAACACCATAAAAACCCATATTGGAGACAATAGGGTTTTTATCCTTGGCACTAGCAACTTGCATAGTATGTGCAAGTAAATAAACTCCACTATTTTGGACAGTTCGCACATCATCTTGTGTCTTGATGTTAAATTTAACACCATTAATAAGATAGCTCCTATATGATGCACTACCATGCTTGGACCAGCTGCTAGCAACCTCAAATTTTCTGATACGCCATTATGCTCTTCCCCATTAAGTTCACTTTGAACCTGCAAATTAATCATATATACCTTAATTCAATCTAACATATAGAATGGAAGCAAATTAAAAGTTGAATATGCATGTCATTCAATAACATATATATACCTTAAAGTGGAGCCATTGAATGAAAGTGTTATTGTGCTTATCTTGCAGCCACTTTGTTCTCTTTCTAAATTTTGGATAAGTGGTCTTGATGTGGATCATATGTTCCCCACATTGACACGAAAAAATCAAGCATTATGATTCTTTGTATATAAGATAAACATAAGGAATAATAATATTTAAAATGGCTCCATATGAAAAATAAAAGTCATACGTACTTGATATAAAGTAGGACTTCCTCCGTATTCTCCAAGACATATAAATGTGTCTGGTTTAACAAGTCCCGATCAACTAAGCTTATTGTGCAACCTGATAATGGCTTTGAAACTTCCATCTTCTGGCTTAAAGGCACTCCAACTGTATTAACATCAGATAAATGCTTGGTGCAAAACTCTACAGCTTCTTCAGCTATATACCGCTCAGCAATGCAACCTTCCGGACGAATACGGTTCTGAACATACCCTTTTAGCACTTTCATATACCTTTCAAACGGATACATCCATCTAAAATATACTGGGCCACATAGACGAACTTCTCTGACAAGATGTACTACTAAATAAACCATGATATCAAAGAATAAAGGGGGAGAGTAATTCTCAAGCAAACACAAAGTAACTACTATATCTCTTCCAACTTATCCAGCTTGGAAACATCTACCATCTTTGCACATATAGCATTGAAGAAGAAGCACAATTGAGTTATTGCATACCTTGCAGGCTTCTCTAAAACAGAACGAATTGCCACGGGGAGCAATTGTTGCATCAAGGTATGACAATCATGAGATTTAAGTCCAAGAAGTCTTGAATCTTTTAAAGATACAAGATTTTTTTATATTTGAACAATAACCTTCAGGGACCTTCATACCATAGAAAGAATTGCAAATCGCTATCTTATCTGCTCTTGACAAATTCCAAGGCCCTGGAGGCAAGCGAGTACGTCTTTGTCCTACTCGGGTTGCAAATCAGTTTTGACCCCCATGTTCAATAAATCTAACTGAGCAGCAATCCCATCTTTATTTTTTCTAGGGATCTCCAGCAATGTACCAATGATACTATCACAAACATTCTTCTCAATATGCATAACATCTAGGACATGCCTCACATGAAGGTATTTACAATACTCGAGATCATAGAATTTTGATTTCTTCTTCCAACAAACTCTGTCACCATCATTCTCACCAACGCTTCCCTCGTTTTTCGAGCCCCATGTGTAATTAATATCTTCAACAATGTGCAACACTTCTTCTCCGTTTAATGGCTTGGGAGGCGTGCCATATTCGGGTTTCCCATTAAAAGCTACATGCTGCCTCCGATATGGATGATTGATTGGTAACCATTTTCTATGCCCAATGTAACAAATTTTGTGACCATTTTTCAACATGTGACTAGGTGTATCATCGCCGAATATTGGACAAGCTTTATATCCTTTAACGACACAACCATATAAGTTCTCATAGGCAGGAAAATCATTAACTGTCAACAATAATTCACCTCTGAGTGTAAAGTATTCTCCTATATGTGCATCATACACTCCTCTAATCCCATCCCACAGAGATTTTAAATCATCAATCAAAGGCTCTAAGTAGACGTCTATATCATTTCCAGGCTGTTTAGGACCGGAAATCAATAAGGTCAATATCATGAACTTCCGTTTCTTGTATAGCCATGATGGGAGATTATATGTAACTAAGATAAATGGCCAACAACTATATCTGCTACTTAAAGAACTGTGGGGATTGAATCCATTAGATGAGAGAGCCAATCTCAAGTTTCTCGGCTTTTTACCAAACTCAGGCCATTTATCATCAACAAGTTTCCAAGACGGGGAATCCGGTGGATGAGACATTTGATTGTCAACTGATTTTCTAGTAGGATGCCAAGTCAAACTCTTAGCTGTCTTATGTGATTGAAACATCATTTCAAACCTTGGAATTGGAGGAAAATACCACACCACCTTCGCTGGCACACCCTCTTTCAAGATTGAATATTTGCCTTCCTTCCACCTTGAGACACCACAAGTAAGACAATTAGTTGAATCTTCATAACCCTTCCTATACAAGATGCAATCATTGAGACATGCGTGGATTTTCTCATAACTCATCCCTAAAGCAGACAATGTCTTTTTGGCCTTGTCTTGTTTCAAACATCAATGAGACTCGTTCTTTAAATAAAAAAACTTCAAATGAAGAAAAAAAACGGAGTGAGAAAGTTTTCAAACCTTTGGCTTGCAAAGAAAGTTTCCTTCGGAATCAAATTTTAGAGACGAAGACAAGGAAGAACGTAGAAGTTGAAAGGGAAACTGAGAATCAGAAACACAGCTTTTTGGAAATGAGAGGGAAACTGAGAGAAAACTGAAAATTTTAGAGAGAACGTAAAAGTTTAGGTCAGGTGACCAAAAAGTTTATATAGTGTCCCAAAGATAAATACAACGACGGTGGTCATAAAAACCGCCCTAGTATGTTGTTACCACGACATTAAAATAATATAAACCGACGTGGTTAGTAAAAAGCCTTTTGACTTTTTGTATTCCGAAAACAACGTGGTTAGTTGGGTGCTGCACGTCAAAAGTTTACTTTTGAATAAGTGATTTTGTAAGTTCCCACGTCGTTTTTTTATATGAAACCGACGTGGTTTTCTAAAACCTCGTTGCCTTTAGTTTAAGTACCGACGTTGTTTGTATGTTTAATACGTCATCCGTGTTTCAAGAACCGACGTGTATCCTTTGTTAAACGGCGTTAGGTTTAATATAACCGACGTGGATATGAATTTTTTTTTATTTTATAAATTGAGTTTTTTTCCACAATTTCTTTCATTTTCAGTTTCAATTAGGGTTCCAACTTCTTCTTGCCCTTTGTCTCACCTCTTAGGAGGCAATTGTTTGGATGTTGGTGTGTGTGTATGTTTGTGTACCTGATTCACAAACGTACATACATCACCAACGTTCAAAAAAATTTCTCTCTGAATGCAAATCTGTTGCTGCCGTCGTCAAATTTTATAGGCAAATTTTTGGATGTTGATGTGTGTATTTGTGTCTCAATTGAGACACAAATACACATACATCATCAATCTCTAAAATATTGTCTCTCTGAATGCAAATCTGTGGCTGCCGTCGTCAAATTTTAGAGGCAATTGCTTGGATGTTGATGTGTGTGTGCGTTTGTGTATCTGAAAGACATAAACACACACACATCATCAACTTCCAAAAAATTTCCTTTCTAAATGCAAATCTGTGGCTGCCGTCATCAAATTTTAGAGGTAAATTTTTGGATGTTGATATGTATGTGCCTTTGTATATGTCATCAACCTCTAAAATATTGTCTTTCTCTGGTCTGATTATGATGAGGAACAGAGTTCCATTTGGTAAGATTTCGTAACTCTTGGGATCTCAAATCTGATTCTGACAGCTGTTTTCTATATAAACCATCGTGGTTATTCTCAATTCTGTCATTAAGTTGATCTACAAACGAGGATAACAAAATCCAAGAAATAAATTTTTTTTTAAAAATTACTATTAAGATTACGGTTTAGATATAAGGTCGGACGTATAAAGTGAATTAATACGACGGTAATTTTAACTTCACGATGTATCTCTTGGATCTCAGAAAAATCTATTCTGTTGGTGGTTTTTTATATAAACCGTCGTGGTTATTCTCAATTCTTGTCATTAAGTTGGTCTAACCGTCGTAGGATACCAAAATCAAAGAAATAATTAGTAAAAAATAATGTAATTAAGACGACCATTTAGGTATAAGGGTATACGTATAAAGTAAATAAATACGACGGTAATTTTCACTTCACGACGTGGTAAATTTTATTATACGGCATTAATTGAACAAACCAACATAGTTAGAGTTAAAGATACCGCCGTAGTATGGTACAAGAAATAAGTCGAGAAAATTTGTTTTTGCCATCGTTGTACATTTATTTAAGATGACGGTATTTTGTAATTTACCGCCATGGATTCTTTTGAAATCATGCGATGCGGGATACAAAAACTTGGTCGTGGTTATTACAAAGTAAAAACGGCGGCTGTTTCTTTAAACCGTCGTCTTTACTTTATATATCGGTTTATTCATACTTTCTACCGTTGTTTGTGGGCTCAGATTTTACTATGAGGAAAACGTTTTTCAATAAGACGTCGCTTTTTAAATTAGGTGTGTCGTTTTAAAAAGAACCATTGGAATCCCCATTTTTTAGGTGTTTAAGTTAATTTTACACGGCGGTTTTATAAAACCGTCGTCTTTTCAAACACAACGGACGGTTTTATGTTAAACCGTCGTTTTTTTTCTAGTCGTCTTTTTTCACTTTTTGCAGTAGCTCAACAAAAAAAAAAAAAAAAAAAAAAAAAAAAAAGATATATCATGTAGCTTGACCTAGCTAACATAAGTCTACCTGAGCTAAAATGAAGTCTTAGGCTTAACATGGATTCACATTAAGACTTACCTTACTTAGGCTCCACAGTGCTTGTCAAATTATGTCCCAATGTTGCGCTTTTGTTCAGCTTGCCCACATTCCACTGAGTCCCCAAATTAACAAGTGATGTTGCTGTATTATATCCAAAACAAGAACCTAGAGTTAGATTTTGAATCTGTAGGCCTTGAAGACATTTAGTCCATTATGTCTGCATTATATTATAGGGAGATTCACTATTATACTCAATATAGGAGCCCAAATTATAAAATAAAAAAACTACATGAAATGGACTTTAGAAACACACCCAAAGCTCATTTCAACATAACAAAAAAACTTCGAATTTCCTATAAATTACAAAATTGCCATTGATTTCTTAAAACAAGGCCAACCTCAAAACATCATATAAAAAAACCAAAAACACTCAAAAGGGCATTAAAGTAATTTAATAATCAAAATTAAATTCAATAGAACCAACTGCCCTTTTTTTGGGTTTGTTTATAGAAATTAAATCGTGTAGGGTTTATCTATATCACTGGTGCTAAGAATATGTATATAACTAAATATTTAGGAAAAAGACTGTTCTGCCAAGCCCAACTAATTTTTCCGCAAGTCATATTAATTGCTTTCCATTTGACCTTTTGGTTTGTAATTTTGATCCCTCCGGTTTTGTATAAGACCTTTGGTTTTACACGTATAGAAATCTAGCTTTGATATCATGTTAAAAGGTTGCTGTTACATGCCAAATTTGACTCATTAATAATGGAGGAGTAACTCAACTCATTATTGGCATTTGACTCATTAATAATGGGGGAGTAACTCAACTCATTATAAATTCTTGCAAAATTTCTAAACTTTCCAATGTATAACATTTCTTCACGTGCTTACAATTATGAAATAATTATTCTAAAATAACTTTGAGGAAATAAAAGAAAACAAGACGGGTGATGAAATTGAGATGTGAGTTTGTCTCATTATGCTGAATGTTCACATGCACTCTAGAGTTTGGACCATGACACGACTGCATTACGCAATCCACCGTTCGTCCGTAATGTGAACTCCTGTCTCTGTCTACGACGTTACCGCTATACGTGTTCCAAATGGAAACGACAAGTTTTCTCTGCCAAGTAATAAGCTCACGCAATGCACTAATAATAATTCAACGAAATCAAGCACCTGCATCCATCCAATCATTCGTTTTGTAATTTCCGTCTCTATCTAATTTGATCGGCCATGTCATCATTAGTAGGATGCAAAGCCTTAGACAACTACAACAGAGCATGCATAAATTGGAGTCACTCTCCTATCTTTGGACCATAACACATCTCCACGGCAATCCCACTGCTCACAATTAATGTCCAAGGGCTATGCTTTGGAGCGAAGGTTACTGACCCCCATAAGAGAGTAGAAGTTTCAGTGTACCGGAGGCTCTACGCGACATCGCGCTCTTATGAGATGTTTACTAATTCATAATCATGACGAATATGAGTTGGAATGAGAGTGAATGAGAGTGACCTTGAATCGGAGTCACTCCAAAATATTATTGTTGGAAGTATTTACTAATTGTTCGGTGATCGAAGTAGTCAATTAATGCGGTACATCAAATAAGACTACTGAATCCCCCTACATATCCAATGGAAAAGACACGTTAGTGAAGTGCATAAGAGCTAGTGCAATTAATCCATAAGAACAAATCCAGGTAAAAAGAGAGAGATAATCTACAAGAAATGTACTTGGTCACTCATAAAAAGCAGCCTTTATATATGCAAGACCAGAAATGAAAATTTCAACATTTGAGTAATCTAATTAGAGTGGGGGTTCACATTACACATTAGCTGGAATCGGAGCTACAACAAGACTTCAAACAAGAAATTAAAAATTGCAGTTTGTGATCATGCCACAAGTGGCATTAACCCAAGTGAAGGAAGCAGACAGAGGGCGTCTAGGGCTGCCCATCTTGAGCACCATTGATGGCAATTGATTGCTTTGATTGGTGGGGCTTTGCAACGCCCATCTCCATTGATTCATCAGCAGTAGCAGCAGTACTACTAGAACTGGGCTTCTTGATACTGCCTGTGCTTCCCTTGCTGTCGCGGTAGATGAAGTACAAGACCAGCTGCAGTGCCCCTAGGCCGCTTCCAAATCCATTTGGCACCTGCACACACCATAACATTTCTCCACACATCAGATTATTTAACTATTAATTTCAATTTAATCACATCTTAATTTTGGTTTTAGTCAACTAAGAAAGTACTTACAGCAACAAAAGGGTCATGGCCAAGTAGGCCAAAGATGAACCATGAAGTGCCACATAAGAAGGAGAAAAGTGACAAAAAATATGGCATAAATTCCACACTCTTGGTTTTGATCACTGTGCTCTGCAAACACATTTTTAAACACATCATTAATACAATAATTAATCTCAACCCACTGCATTAACCCTTAATTATGAATATTAAACTCACCATAATTGCGAGAGGTGAGCCATACATGATGATTGAGAATACGGTGGCTGCAAGCCCACAGAAGAGCTTCCTGGCCTTGCTGTGCAGAGCAAAGACTGAGACCAAAGCCACAGTGGAGAAGATAGCAAGCACAAAGGTGAAGAGGCAAAGAATCTTGAACTTCTCTCTCTTGGGGGCAAATATGATGAAGATCAACACATATATTGCTTCAATGGCTGCACCAGTACCATTGATGGTTGAGACCAAGATGTTGTTTGGGGACACAAAGGGCAGGCCATACCTATTTTTTTTAATTAATATCATGCAGATCAAGCATTAGTTAGTTTTATTGAACAAAATTAATTCCAAGAACCAACATTTGATCGATTCCAAGAAGATGAAGGCAAATGAAAGAAAGATCAAACCAAAAACAATAGGAACAGTGAAAAAAACAGAGCAGAAACAGGGGCAAAAGTGTCATTTAATCCCATGTTATGTTAGTAACGAAGAGACAGAAAACCATTGTGATTAAGCCGCAAAGTGAGGGGTAAAAAGGTGAAGAAAGAAATTGAAAGAGAGAAATTTATAGAAAGCGGTTGAAGGAGCGAGAAGCATTATACCAAGCGGAGAGGAGGCAGTTAAGCAAAGTCATGACATACGGAATGCCTGAGAACTGCTCTGTGCTTCTCTTCTGTATGATCCTCTTGAATGTGATGCTATTATAAAACCAAAATCACTCCATAAATTCCAGAGAAAATTCAAGAAACACAGTAAAGATTCAAGCTTTTTGAACTATGCAGATTGTACGGAAAACCCATCTAAAGCAATGATCTTTAGACCCTAAAAGCAACTCCATTTGAGAGAGAGAGAGAGAGAGAGAGAGAGAGAGAGAGAGATACATGGGAGCCAAGAAGAGGAACAGAGCAGTGGCATTTCCTGTAGAAAAGAAGAGGAAACCATAAACAGAGCAACTAGACACACATACCTCAAAAAGAATTGATATGAAAGAAACCCAGTTGAGAAAACTCACCAACAACTCCAAAGAAGACCTTGAGAATATGCATTGTTTTCCGATCTCTTTCACACCAAACCTTGAAAGGAAAGAAAGAAAAGAAGAGGAACCCAGCCAGATGAGGAAAAGCACTTGGAGAACCAAAAACTGGACTGAAAAAGAAGAGAGAGAAGACTATCGAAAGAAGAGCAAGTTGTTTCTTCAGAAAATGGCAAGTGGGTTTTTGAGAGAGAGGGACGAGAAGCGCTTGGGTTTTTATAGGAAAAAAAACAGAGAAACAGAAAATTGAAGTGTAACTAAATGGTATCTCCGTTGCAGTAAATACTGAAATGTACGAATTCTTAATTTTTTATTTGGCGAAGAGGCTCTTGTCTACATCTTTGAGCACTTCCAGCGGCAAGGGGAAGCCCGGGCAGGAAAGGGCCTAGGCCTGCGTGACGGTTCTACCATGCAGGGGCAAGCCTGGGTAAGGCGTGGGGCCCACCAACTCAGGGTGGGGCCAATTAAAATAATAAAAATTAAAAAAATTAGAATTTTTTATTTATAAATACTTAACCATATTTTTTACTTCTCACACCAAAACTCTAAATCCTATAAATAAATAAAAATCATTTATGTATAAAAATAAAAATAATTTAAAGTGAATAGTAATTACCATCTGTCATGGTAATAAGTGGAAACACACTTTGCCTTTTGTAAGGACTGACACTATTTATGTGAATAATAATAGCCTTTGCCTCTCATTGCTCTTTGTCATGACAAATGGATATAAATGTTCTTACAGTCGCATTAAGCTGACAATTTGGAACATATCCATCCATACACATATCATATAAATATAAATTATATTAGAAAATATCGATGTTGATAATTTCTCTCACACTTTAACAACATTTGGTAAAAATATCTGTATAATATCACTATAATATCAATAATATCGAGATGATAAAAACAGTGAAAAATTTGAATAGTTATTTACACTATCACCATTTGAGGTTTCTTAGGCAGACGAGGGTTGGAGAGAAGATGACGACGTGTAGTTGAAACCCTGACGCTAGCGTGTGTCTGTCCTTGCTATCGAGAGAGTCCTTGGCATCAATATTATTGTTATTTGCTTTTTCTTATAAAATAGTGTGAAGTTGAAAGCAGTACTATGATATGCACTGCGGGCATATAAATGCTTAAAGGTTTTTTTTTCGATTGGTTGCATTTTGGTTGTTTGCATGTTGACTAATAACCTCATAATTCTTGCGTAAAATACTTTGGATGAGTAATTCTTGTACACCTTTTCCACTTCTTTGTCTCTTTATTTTGCCTTTTAAGGGGAGGAGGCTCCTCCTCCTCTCCTCCTCTCCTCCCTTTCCCTCTCTTTGGGAGGAGACATGTACGACGTAGACGACGTAGATTTATTCTTCAATAACCAGTACAAGGTAGAACCAAAGTAAAAGGACTAAATTGCAACATGACAATAAGACAAAAAAGGCTAAATATGAGGTTTTGATTTATTCACTTGCTTGCAACAAAATGCTCCACGGAATCGGCTGAATATTAGCGAGTCCTATATCAAATCAAATGTCCTTCCACAAAATTGTGACCTAAAGTCTTAAAGGAAGTCAAAGACAACATCAACTTTTAAGCAAAATAATAGTTTTTAGCGACCACCAATACAAAATTTGTATTTGCATGCTCCATCATACAATATATTTAACAGATTGTGATGTGTAAAATGACCAATCAGTATATTTCATAAGATTATATAACACATGCTTTCAATGCTAATAATTGAACTTAGGATATTCACATTTACTAGCCTCTCTGCACGTGCTTCTGCTCTTATAAGAGGCTTTTTAAAAAAAAATTAAATTTATTTTGGAATTAAAACATAATAATGGGTAGTTGTGTTCCAAAAAAATGACCAATTATCTAATTTTGTTTTAATATGAAAAAAATGTAAATTTATCATATTATCCTCATTTAATTAATAATTTCAATTCTTAATATATTTGAATTAACCAAGGGCATTTTCTGATATTTTGAATGTTTCACTATTCTTTACTTTTGGCTTTATATATACTAGCCTCTCTGCACGTGCAGAAGCATGTGTAATAAGATTTTTTTTAAATTTATTTTAGAATTAAAAAAAATAATGGGTAGTTGTGTTCCATAAAAATAGGATCCTTTATCTTATTTTTCTTTTCATTTTAATTTTTTTTAGTATGAAAAAGTGTAAATTTATCGTTTTATCATCATTTAATTAATCATTTCAATTCTTAATGTTTGTATTAACTAATGATATTTTCTAGTATTTTGAATGTTTCACCATTGTCTATCTTTTGCTTTATATATATAGATATAGACCCCACATCTAAAATAGATTTTTAAATGACCACAAATCTCTTGGACCTCTGTAATACAAAAGATTAGGACTACGGGTTTTTATTCACTTTGGTTGTTTTTGGATGGACGGTGCCACTTCAAGGCAGGTTTGTTGTTTAGTCCATCCTATAGTTCCTAAAGGACGGTGCCCAATGTATGCCATCTCTAACTGAACCCTATTAGTTACTGTCACACGTCATGTCCCGCTGACCAGGACTTTTTGTTTTTGTTTTTTCTATCCTCTTTATAATAAAAAAAAAGATTACGTTTATAGTATTTATCACTTCACCCGAGGTTCTAAGTTCGCTTATTCCTTTTTTGATATCGTTTGTGTAAAAATATATATATTACTGAAACCATTTCTCGGTCTCCTTTTCATTGGTATTTTCTCTTGAGGAGAATGTCCATCATCCTTGAAGCAAAGATGTTGAGCTGAAACAGCTATATCCAGCTACATATATCTGGAGAATTAGACAAAAAAAGGGCTTGTATATTACAGCCATTTCATCTTATGAATATGCACTCTCTTATAATTTTACCGGCTTATTAGAGAAAAGGGTCGATAAGGCCAACAGATTTGGCTTTTAAATAGTACAGCAAGTTGTCCCATAGCACTTTGTCTTATGTGGGTTAGGGTTACGATCGTTTTCTTATTGACTGTCATCTATCACAACACAAAGTATCTTATCGACTGTCATCTATCACGAAGTATCAGAAGTCGTCAATTTGGTGAAGTTTTCTTGGAAAATCATGAGTCGACAAAAAACCTGTGTTGTCTGAAATAATAATGTCATGATGATTTAGTGGAATATAAATCAGCAGAACTGAATTTTGCTCTATGAGTTAGCAACTTGTGTAGGAGAGAGAGTAAAGAGCTAGCGAGATATTTCTTACAATATATATATATAATATAGAAAGTGGAAACTTGATGGGTTACCAAGATTTCTTCCTTTATATAAGAATTTGAGAGTTGATAACTTGATGATCTTGAACTAGTTTTAAAACTTAAATAAACCATTTTTTTGTTGCTAGTACTTATTCAGTGTTTTTTTTAACTCTTCAGTCAAGTAGGGAGTCAGAAGTTGATTTTTATTTATTTATTTTTAAAATAAAAAAACTTGGTTGATTATATTTAATGTGAAAATAAATAGTAAAAAATGATCAATTCAATGACTGAGAAGATTCTAAGATAGAAGATGATATCAAACACATTTGTAAGTAATTAATGAACCATTGTCCATGACGTGATTGATATTTTTTACTATTAGAATGAGGAAACATTCACTCATATACGTGGATTGGTTATTCACATAATATCGTATCCAGTACCACACAATAATTACTCAACAACGGGGAAAAAAAAAGATAAAATCTTGTGTAGACATAATTATAGGTACACAAATGATAGAACGGTGGCAAATGAGCAAGGGAATTCGAAAGAAGAATCCAATCTTTGACTAGGATAAGGATGTTAGGAATTGATAATCCATCATGAACGAGGGAAATCGAAAGATGGAAGTTGCAACCAATGTATATAACCAACTCACAATTTCTGCTTTTAACAAACGACAATTATAGGTGAGATTAGGCATGCAAGTTGCTACTTGGGTTTAGGCATGCAAGTTGCAGCTTGAGATTAACAAGTGGTCTTGACCCAAAAAAAAGAAAAAGAGATTAACAAATGGCACGCAAGTTGCAACATGGGATTACGCATTAATTGGAATTAACTTTAGAATTAAGCAGTTTATGTGAGATTACCAATTGAATTCACTAGACTTTTTCTATCCCTAAATAGTCTTTTAAATCCAAATTGAATACATTCATATGGATTAGTTCTCCACTTGTAGTTCGAGTTAGAGATCATCATTTGTGGCCCAAAGAAAAGTTATTTACAAAACCAATTACCTTCATTATATTTGTCAAATTTAATTCCCTAATTATGTGCTTAGGGTTTCTTTGATTTTCTTTGGGTTCTCGCTTTGCTTAAATGACAGCGCATAAGTGAGGAGCTCAAGAATTTTATCCTTTTCCATCTTGGGAGCCAGTAGGAAGACGATCAACAAGTATATGGCTTCAATTGCTGCTCCGATAGTGTTGATGGTCAACACCAAAATGTTCTTTGGAGACACAAGTGGCAGGCCGTACCTGTTGGATTGTTGCAAATGCGAACTTGTTAATTCACTAAACTATGTAGGTCATGAAAATTTATTGATGCATACACAAATACGGTAATTAATGTTCTCTTATCAAACTTATGCTTAGAATGTGACGTGCGAAAATGAACTTAATCAATGTCTCGTATTCATTCCATATGAATAAGTCACCTTCTGTATTATTCGGAAGAAGAGATGAAGCCAATGAATAAGAGATTCAACTTTGTATTGCTTAGAGACCAAAGTATTTAATAAAAGTACCATGCACTGATCAAAGCCCAAGAAACAAAAAGACATACCAAGCCGCTGAAAGGAGCAAAGTCATGAGGTAAGGAATGCCCGAGAGGTACTGCTCTGTGAACTTATTCTTCTTCATGATCCTCTTCAATGTAGTCCTATTAGTATTAAACCAAAATCCTTAATTCAAATTAAAACATGATTTTGCATAAATGATTTTAAGCTTTGACAATATCTGAGCGTACGTAGTGCATACATTGGCACCAAGAAGAGGAAGAAAGCGATC